TTTTCATTTTAGACAGGCTCTAAGTACTGACATGTTGCGAATTAAACTGATTAATCTAAGTTTAGCTGAATTCAGTTGCTACTTGAAATTTTATCATACACTCATAATATGCCATGTTTCTGCTACTATCGTATAATATCATAGATTTGGTACTGGTTATATGTCACGTGTCTACTACTATCTAATGATATCAAAGATCCCATACTAGTTATATGTCACGTGTCTCCTATTATATTATAACATCATAGATTTGGTACTGGTTACACGTCACGTGTCCGCTAATATGGTAATACTAACAAAAATATTTTTTTCAAAAATTGTTGGGATGTAGGGGGTGGAAAAAGATAGATAGATCTTCAATAGATCTTAAATTGGTTATGTGTCATGTATGAGGGGTACCTTTAAAACATAGTAAAAGTTTATTTTAGATTTGGTATGGCGAAGACACAGCACATGTAGTTTAATGATGGATTCTTCGTAGCTCACTTCTGGCCCTTCTACTATTGCTGTGACTCAACGTAGATCTCCTCCTCATTATTGTTTGTTCCATAATGTGGTAGACATCTTTCACATAATTTACAGGTAACAAAAAAAAAAGCAGCACAAAAAAAAGCCAAACAGAACTAAACCAATCACTGGTATAGCCTAAGCTAAATCTTTTCACATAAAAGGTAAAAGTTACTTTACTGTATCTGATATTCAGAATATAAAATTGATTTTGATAAACTGGGTAGTAGTTAACCATTTATCTAGCAAAGAGGTAAGAATAGTTTGATTTGTTGAAACAATACTGATAAGTGTAAATACAACAAAACACATTTCACTTCTATTATTCAAAAAACAAAATAAAATGGATGGAAATGGATGAAAGTATAATAAAAATTAGTATATAGAAACTGCCTTTAAATTGACGGATAGTAAATGTAAAAAGGACTATATGAAAATAATTATCAAACAAGAAACGAAACGAAAATAAGGTAAAAAATAAAGCCTAAACAATTAGCTCACCAATCAGAAACAAACAACAAAACAATTTACAGACGAGTATAGAATTTTTCAAAGATAAAGAAAAATTTCTCTCACAGATTACAAGGTTTTTCCTGGCTTGGTCAACTGCAGTATTCTGAGGGTTTTTTATCTTTCCACCCTTGTAACAGTATTATTCTTAAGTATTATTAGCTACTATTATATGTATACGGTGTAATGATGAATACAGCCAACTAAACAATCTAACAGATGTAAATAACGTCAATTCTTAAGTATTATTAGCTACTATTATATGTATACGGTGTAATGATGAATACAGCCCACTAAACAATCTAACAGATGTAAATCACGTCAATTCTTAAGTATTATAAGCTACTATTATATGTATACGGTGTAATGATGAATAAAGCCAACTAAACAATCTAACAGATGTAAATAACGTCAATTCTTAAGTATTATTATCTATTATTATGTATATACGGTGTAATGATGAATAAAGCCAACTAAACAATCTAACAGATGTAAATAACGTCAATTCTTAAGTATTATTAGCTACTATTATATGTATACGGTGTAATGATGAATAAAGCCAACTAAACAATCTAACAGATGTAAATAACGTCAATTCTTAAGTATTGTTAGCTACTATTATATGTATATGGTGTAATGATAAATACAGCCCACTAAACAATCTAACAGATGTAAATAACGTCAATTCTTAAGTATTATTAGCTACTATTATATGTATACGGTGTAATGATGAATACAGCCCACTAAACAATCTAACAGATGTAAATAACGTCAATTCTTAAATTTTATTAGCTACTATTATATGTATACGGTGTAATGATGAATACAGCCCAAGTATAATTATTCAAATATCCCTTTCAAAAGGAACTTATGTTTATTGAAACATGTCTCTCAATGTTAAAATTAATACACACGGTAGTGTGTCGTGTGACCAAAACAACCTACAGGACACACTGTGTTTTATCAACAGGAGTGATAGTTCAGTGATTTTCCACCTTCTGTAAATCGGACTGTGGTAATCCAAACTATAATATATTTTTAGTAGATACGCGCTAGTAGAGCCTTACTTCACATATACAATTTCAACGCAATCAACTAAGAAATACAAAAGATATGAAATCTCCAATTTTGATTGAATATTTCCTTTTTTTTTTCTTCGCACCGTAAATAGGCTTCTCAAACCCTAACCCCTATTGTTCTCAAGCATTGCCTGTTATTAACCTCCATTGTTCTCTGAATCCCCAACTTTCAGCGGGCGGTCAGTCTTTGTTGGTCAAAACACGTTTTTTAAACTAAACCAATTATTGACTGTAAGTTTCAGTACCGCGTAAGTTGCCACAAAGATTAGGGCTAATATATCATTTTCAATTGGACGGATTCGGCTGTTTTTAACTTCGACATTCGAGTATTACCGGGTAGCCCGATAACCGGCAGGGGTCGAATATCTGGCCGGGTACCCGTGCATCCCTAGCTTTTATGGATATTTTTCAAATTTGGTATACTGGTATGTATTTGCAACTTACAATTAAGTGTCAAATTTGTTCTAACTATGAGCCACATGTACATAGTTATTCAACACAAACCGCTCAAATTTCACCAAAACTTATGCGCACGCCTGCGCAAAAAGTCACGCGAACTGTCGGTCTGAAATTTTTACTACAGCTTTCCTTAGAGCAGAAGTGGACTGTGTTTAGTTTTTGTCATTCGGATTAACTAAAGAGCATTTAGCGTCACGTGATATTAGCTTCAGTAATTAGTTAGATTATGTTTACGAGGAAAGTTTATTATATGAGTGAAAACTATGTTGTATGATAAACCTTATCCAAACTACTGTTACGTATCTGCTTGTTTGTTTGTTTCCGGTAGAAATTCTTTCCGAGGATCTTTCTTGATTAAACCAGTTTATTCGTCCTCCATACAAACTTTTATTACACAGTAG